TGACAGCTGGGATTGGCTCCAGCACCCCCCGCGACCCTGAAAAGGATAAGCGGTAGCGAATGGATGGACACGCTAATTCCATCTCTTAAAAAAACATTCAATTATATTCACTTCTGTCTATAGGTGAGACGCTTTGCCTTGATTGGAGGGACCACACTGGAGGTGTGAGTCCGCTGCACCGCCAAACGAGCTGGCCTCGGTACTCAACTGGGCAGGGAACAAAACTAAGGACCAGACAGAGCAAAAAAGGGCATTTAAAGAGACAGCGCTGTGCAGATACATATTTGGTAAGTTTTACCGTTTATTGTAGTTTTATGAGCCTAAAGTGAACAATAAAGGGATCAATTGATCTGCTGGGTGCATTTCACATTTCCTTTGTCCGGTTTTTGCTATATTACTTTGTCTTTCTTAATAACAAGACTTTCATGTCCAGTTAATCTGGAGATGGAGTCTTTGGTCTTTGGCTTGTTTTGTCCTCGGGTTGTACACTTTGTACAGCCCGAGGACCTCATGTTGTCTTTTTTTTAAAGGATACACGACACACCATGCTAAGACATATCACATTTTCAGCTCATAGCTCTTTGGGAATCAAATGCGGCAGTTTGTTGATTTCCCCTTGGTGACTTTCATGTTTATCAGCCTAGGAGTTTACATACTTTCTCCCTGCTGGAGAGAATTAAGAAGAGCTTATTTATGTGCTCTAATTCACTTTTTTTTGTCTTTTTTGTGTGTGTGTCTATTTTTGTCCTAGATGACCTGATCTGTTGGATGTTGAAAGTAATAAGAACTTAAGCAGAACTGCAGCTCTGAACGTCTGACAGATACACAAACATCTCTCTTCAAAGAAAAACATTCAATTATATTCACTTCAGTTCATTTTTATTTATACAGCACCAAATCACAAACACAGTCACCTCAGAAACATTGTAAAGCAAAGACTTTGTAATAATACAAATTATTACAGTAACACTGAAGACTTCCAGGAGACTGAATACAAGATTGCTTTGTTTCATTATAAGAACGTTTATTTCTCAGTTGCTTTGATTAAATCAGACCGAGTTTAGAAAGAGGCGAAAACTTCACTGATAATGGAACCCTGTGTTTTTCTACACCGACCATCACTGGTAATATTTTCACCGGCAGAGTCTTGGTGCCAATGTATGGAAAAAGCTTCTCAGTGAAAGTGTGTTTGAAGGTGTGTATGTGTGAGTTGGTGTCCAGATCAAAAAACGAGAGCTTCCTCCTGTCCCAGTCCAGCTGAACTCGGAGTCTTTGGAGCTTCTTCACTGAGAGAACTTTATCTGGAAGCGGTGGAGCGGATGCTGTGTATTTTCCATCCTGGTGACAGACTTCCCAGTATCCTGTGTGTATATGTCCCTTTCTTTGAACAGACTCCTTTAGTACACCGAGACACCAGACTCCATCATTTCTAACCTCAACATCCCAGCTGTTAATCCCCGAGTCGAAGCCCTCTGAGCCCAGGATGACAAAATAGTTTTCTATCCTCTCTGGGTTGTCAGGAAGCTGCTTTCTCAGTCCCACACTCACACTGGTCAGATCTTCAGACAGGATGAGTTGTGGATGAGCTGAGTTTGGATCCAGAATCACAGGAGTGTAGGAGACCATCTCCCTCATTCTGTTCCAGATGTTGTAGGTCAGGTTGCCCAGGTGTTTGGCCACATCTATCAGAGCTCCAGAGACCAGCTGTGGATCCTCCAGCAGGGGGCGCTGCTGGATTCTTTTCAGTGCAGCACTGTAGTTGTGCAGAAATGAGACATCTTCAGCTCTCAGTTCCTCCTCTGTGGCTCTGATTGTTTCTGAAAGAGTTTCTATCTCTCTGCTCAGGGCCCCAATCTTCTCCTTTATTATCTTGCATTTCTGCTTCTTCTCGGCCCTCAGAGCGGCCAGCCTGGCCTCCTCTTCCTTTTTTAGAAACGTGTGAAGTTTCTTAAACTGCTTTTTAATCTGCCATTCGGTGTAAAAGGCCTGGATCTTACTTTGGAGTGCTGTTTGATTGTAATTTTCTTTAACCTGTTCAAATGCTTCCAGTTTCTTCTGTAAGGGCTTCAATAATTCCTGGAGCTTCTTTCTGTAATCCTGTGCTGCTTCATCAATGGGTCTGAATCTGTGACGGTTGTGCACTTTTGAATCTCGACAGATGAGACATGCTGGCTGTTGATCGTGCAGGCAGAAGAGTTTGAGTTTCTCAGAGTGCAGACTGCAGAGAGACTCCGGCTGTGAGGGTTTTTGAACTCTTTTCATTAAGAAGGCCTCACAGAGGTTCTTTAACACCAAGTTACGGGGCGGATCGTTCAGTAAAGGAATCGTCTTGCATATTGGGCAGGTTTTTATTTTTATCTCTCGCCACCACAGCTGCAGACAGTCTTTACAAAAGCTGTGGCTGCATGAGAGGACGACAGGGTCTCTATAGATGTCGTAGCAGATAGGACAGGAGAGATCTTTTTCAGTCATTTTGCCTACAAAAAAAGAAGAAAGAAAAAAGAACTCAGTTTAAATGTGAATCCCAAAAGTTGGCAGGACTTAAAAAATCTCCTGCCCTCAGGCAGCATTGCATTAAAAACAGGAACGATTGTGTCGTGGAGATCACTGCATGGACTCAGGAACACTCCCAGAAATCATTGTCTGTGAGCACAGTTTGCTGTGCCATCTGCAAACGCAAGTTAAAGTTCAGTCAAAGCAGCCATAACTGTCCATCCAGCTTGTAATCAATGCTTTCTGATCCTATGGGGGTGCATTAGTGCCTATGGACTTGCAAATCTGGAAAGGCCCCATCTGCAGAAAGGCATATCGAACAAATGCTCCCATCGAGATGATGTATTCAATGCAACGCACAATTAGATCTGCCTCAAATTTATAGCTGGCTTAATTTACTGATGTTAGTAAGGTCCTGCTTAAAATGTCATATCCCTTCAGCAGAGACTCTGTATCACACAGCATACTGGAATCAGTGAAGATGTGCTACTTCCCAACAATTTTAAACCATTTTGGTGATCTAACCAGGCAAATCTAATACATTTTTGTCCCAGATAGTGAAAGCCCTTGGTCCTCTTTCAGTGTATGTTAAATCCTCTATCAGGAATTTAGGTTTCACTTTTGACTCGACTCTCACATTGGATGGGCACGTGAAATCTCTGATTCGGTCTTGTTTTTATCATTTAAGAAATGTGGCTAAGTTAAGCCCTATTTTATCTCGCCCTGAACTGGAGATTGCTATACATGCATTTATTTCCTCATGCTTGGACTATTGTAATTCTTTGTTTGTTTAAGCAAAGATTCTCTGGATCGTCTGCAGGTCTGCAGCTAGACTGTTGACAAAATCCTCCAAGTACTCACATGTGACACCATTGCTATTTCAGCTACACTGGCTTCCTGTTGAATTTAGAGTTGATTTTAAGATGCTGGTCTTGACATTTAGAGCCTTGCATGGACTGGCAACACCCTACATCTACGATCTGCTACAGCCCTATGTCCCTAGCAGATCCCTGAGGTCATCTGATCAGGGCTTACTTGCTATAAAACAGACTAATATGAGAACTAAGGGTGACACAGCTTTCGCCACCTTTGGCACCTTTTGCACAAAAGAGAAATATTTATTTAATGAAAAAAATAAAACTTTTAACTGCAGCTCAAGAATCTGCAAAAAAAGTTCAAGTCAAGTAATTTCTTTTTTTAACTAATGGTAAAAGTTAAATATTTAGAACTACAGTGACAGCGATCTATTCAGAGTGTTTAGATTTGCATTGTATAATGAGGAAGCTTCCTGAAACTTACTTCCTGAGCAGCAGGTTCAGATGTACCCCGGCCTTCCTCCGTTTCAGTGTTCCCGGCTTTCTTCCCCCAGCAGCTGTAATTCCTCTGGTTGTGTCTGCTGCTGATGGTCAGTTTTAACGCATTGCTCACAAAATGAAGCTGTCATGTGATTTATGTCCACATCAAAAGAGGAAGACAAATAGCAAGTAACATTTCCCTATATGTGTACATTTCTGCCATTCAAAGATGTTCCACTTCAGCAATTCATTCTGAACAAACATTGTGATTAAAAAGGCCCATTTTTCATGTGTTATTAAGGATTTTACTACAGATTCTAACATATGATATAAAAAGAGAGCTTCCCTGATTCTGTTGTTGCCTCTAACAGCCTGTGAGGAAACTCTCATGTAAGGGAGGTTATTTTTTTGCCAAAATCTAACCGATGTGATGCCTGTGGTTACTTATGGGTGAAAGTTGAGTAATAATGACTCAGAAGTGCAGTCCACTAATCACTTCCTTTAACAGACTCCCAGCTCTCCCCACAACGTCAAAGCAAACTCTAAGGCAAGAAAGCGAACACTGATGTGGCTTCAGAGGATTTAGATGATGACAATCTATCAGAAAGTGCACTCAGAGGTGTACTGTAATTCAGGTTTAAGATAAACAAGTTTTCTTTGTGTGAGCTGGTTCAACAAAACCTAAATTCTTGATTAGAAACACTCACACAAAGAAGGGTGTTTGAAGCATCAGTGGACTCTTCTTCTACTGAACAGCTGAGCACCAGAGAACCACCTACTTCAGTCAAAGATATTATCAAGTGAATGGGACAATGTGATCTGTGAAGATTATGAAAAATATAATAGCAAAAGTAGATAAAATAATTAAGCTCAAAACCTAATATATTTTTACAGTTTTTTACTTCAGGGTTAAAAATTAAACATTTTAATTGCAGTTTAAATTAATTTAATGTTTTGGAGGTAATTTGTGAATGAGGTTTTCCAGACTATTAAATTACTTGAACCCACTAGTATTACAAAAAAACACCTCTGTCCCCTTTTAAATATCATATGTAGAATTGAGCTGGACAAACTTCTGTCAGTCTGAACACAGCCAATTTCTAATTGAATTTTCTAATTGCAAGTTAAAAATGTTTTTTCCTTTAATTCCCATATTTATTACATCTGTGCAGTCTGATAATGTGCTGACTCTGGATTAACCCTTTCATACATAGTGGTCACCACAGTCACAGCTATTCAAAGGCTGTTTTCTTGTATTTGTGTCAGTGTTGATGGTATAGTTGCACATAAACCACTACATTGGACACTGATGTGTCACACCATGCCCTGCCACCAGTGGGTGGCAAACATGTACTTTTCAAAAGACTCTTTGAAAAGTACATTTTTAAAAAATGAAGTTCACAAATCTTTTTTTCATGCCTAAAGATGAATAAAAATTACTTAAGAAAAAAATTCCTGCCTGAAGTTGTCATAATTCATGCAGTAAAAGGTTAAGGGTGTTTTCACACCTGCAGTGTTTAGTCGGTTTAAATTGAATTTTTGATTTGTTTTCCCACTTGGTGTGGTTTGTTTGTGCAGTGTGAACACAGTAATCACACTCAGGTACGGACCAAAACAACAGGAGAACATGTGGATAAAGGGTCCACATGCTGTTCCACTCTCACAGTCACTGGTAATATCATCCGTGGTTCTTTCTTTGTGCAAATACATGAAAACAGTTTTTCGATGATCGTGTGTTTGTCCATGAGATTTTCCTCTGTCACAGAACTCCGACCCTTCTTCTCCAACTTTGTGTGGAAGTGGTGAGGATGCTGCTGTGTATTTCCCATCCTGGAGATATAGTTCCCAGTATCTAGTCAATATTTGTCCTTTTCCCTTAAAAGATTCCTTTACTACGCCTAATTCATCATTTTTAACCTCAACATTCCAACAGTGAATCCCTAAGTCCTCAAAGCCCAGAACATCTGGATGATTATCAAACCTTTGAGCTTTAGGGAAGCTGGTGTTTATTTCCATGCATCAAACTGGTCAGATCCTCAGTAAGTGTGAGGTGTAGATGATGGTGTAGTGTTTGGATGAAGAATCACAGGAGTGCAGGAGCCCACCTCCTTCATCTTGTTCCAGATGTTTTAGCTCAGATTGCCACGTATGTCACGTCGAGCTATGTAGCAGGCAGGACCCAAACTGAGGACTCAAAAACATGAGGGGTAAACTAAAAGCAGTTTTATTAAACTTACAAACTTAATACAAAAATAAAGCAAGTCCCGGTGAAACAGGTGGGGAAGGAGAGACAGGTGAAGACAATCTAAGTAACAAGACAAGGCGATGCACTGTCAAACTAAAACAGGAAACATACAAAAAATTAAAACTAACCAGAGAATCCCAGAAACATTCACTTTCATAGATTTAATTACTTAAACTTGTAAATGAGATAATTTATCATATTCAAATAAATTAAAGGACTGTTGGAGGCGAAATGTGATTGTTTTTTTTTTCAAACATGAAATATTAAAATATTGGAATCACAAATGTATTTAAATACTTACTAGTTTGATAAAACCACAAAAAACTTGTTTTCCCCCTTTCTATATAATTTTAGCATCACATTTGACACTTAAGTGAACAAACATGAATATAAAGAAGATTTAACAGTTTTACAAGAAATTCAGCAGGAGGAAACTCTTTTTATGAATCAGCGTGCCGGCCTGGTCACAGTCAGCAAAGCTCAGAGACTGATCCATCGTGACTGACATGAAGTTAAATGAACATAAAACTGTGAGTTTCGCATTTAAACCAATCACTGTTCCAGTGATTCTGGCTTAAACTTTAAGTTTAAAAAAAAAGTAAAATATCACAACGCATGATACACAAACACTGGAAACCATGTCAAAAAAATGCCATAAAGATTTTAATGTCACTTATTCACTTTAATGTTGCAGCTAGATATTATTTTTATTATTAATATAATGCAGGGTATTGGAATATAGCATAACATTTATTATGTCTTTGCATTTTAAAAGCATAATAAAGCTTAAAAATGAATGGTATATATATATATATATATTTCCATCTACAAGTGGAGTGAAGCATAACAGAGATATTTCTGTACTTTACTATTAATTCTGAAGTATGCGGATAAGTTATATTCCACCATTGTTCCTGTCATTGTTCGTATCTGATGGTGATGGGTACCATGGGAGTATCCATCACCAATGCCATGCATTTCCTTGTTGGACACACCTGTTACTGGCTATCTGTGGACGTGGTTCTGATACTCTGACACCCACATTTCTTTCATATGATAGAAATGTTTGATTACAAGCCTGTGATTATTTCTAAGCAGACTTCTTTGACCAGCATCTAAACGTGCTTAAGATAAGATAAAATAACCTTTATCAGTCCCACACGTGGGAAATTTGTTTTGTCACAGCAGGAAGTGGACAGTGCAAAAGTTATATAGCAAAATTAGAATACAATAAGAATAAAATACAGTACACAACTGTACAGAATAGAATAAAATAAAATACTATATACAGTAGAATAAATAGAATAAAATATACAATAGGATAAAAATAGAATGCAAATGCTTTATACAACTGAGTAAAAATACAACTTTGTCAGAAAAAGAGCATTGCACTTAGTGTTATTGCACATGTGTGGGTTTGATCAGCTGCAAAAGTCTTTGTTGTGGAGTCTGACAGCAGTGGGGAGGAAACACCTGCGAAATCTCTCCGTCCCACACCGTGGATGCCGCAGCCACTGAAGGAGCTGCTCAGTGCTGTCAGAGTCTCCTGCATGGGGTGGGAGATGTTGTCCAACAGGGATGACAGCTTAGCCACCATTCTCCTGTCACTCACCACCTCCACTGGGTCCAGAGGGCATCCTAGAACAGAGCTGGCCCTTCCCATCAGCCAGTTCAGTCTCTTCCTGTCCCCGACAGAGATGCTTCCACCCCAGCAGACCACACCGTAAAAGATGGCTGAGGCCACCACAGAGTCATAGAAGGTCTTCAGGAGTGGGCCCTCCACTCCAAACGACCTGAGTCTCCGCAGCAGCTACAGCCTGCTCTGCCCTTTCCTGTAGATATTAACTTTACTTAACTTTGGATATTAACTTTGGATTGGATATGGACCATATACTCTTTAGATCCCTTTAAACGTGGCTGCTCTTCCAGTGTTACACAGATGGCTGATGGTAGTATGGTCAGCGGAAGAGTCTTGGTCTCAATGTAAGGAAACAACTTCTCAGTGATAGTGAGTTTGAAGGTGTGTATGAGTGTGTTGGTATCAATATCAAAGAATGAGAGCTTCCCTTTGTCGCAGTGCAGGCGAACTCTGATCCTCTGGAGCGTCTTCACTGCGAGGACTTTGCATGGAAGTGGTGGAGCAACTGCTGTGTATTTCCCATCGTGGCGACTTAATTCCCAGAATCCAGTCTTTAATTGTCCCTTTCTCTTAATTGACTCCTGTAGCACACCGAGACACCAGACTCCATCGTTTCTAACCTCAACGTCCCAGCTGTGACTCCCCGAGTCGTAGCCCTCAGAGCCCATGATGATCGAATAGCTGTCAAACCTTTCTGGGTTTTCAGGAAGCTTCTGTTTGCTTCCGTGTCTCACACTAGTAAGATCTGAAGAGATGATGAGGTGTCCTTCAGCAGTGTTTGGATTCAGAATCACAGGAGTGTAGGAAACTGTCTCCTTCATTTTGTTCCAGATGTTGTAGGCCAGGTTGCCCAGGTGTTTGGCCACATCTATCAGAGCTCCAGAGACCACCTCAGGATCCTCCAGCAGGGGGCGCTGCTGGACTCTTTCTGCTGCAGCCTTGTAGTTATAGAGAAACAAAGAGTCATCAGCTCTCAGTTCCTCCTGTGTGGCACTGATGGTTTCAGAAAGAGCTGCTATCTTTTTGGTCAAAGCCTCAATCTTCTCCTGCATCATCCGACTCTTCTGCTGCTCTTCTGTCTTCAGAGCGGCGATCCTTGCCTCTTCCTCCTCAAACAGAAAGTGATGAAGCTTCTTAAACTGCTCCCTAATCTGGCTCTCTATGTATTGAGTCTGCACTACGTTGTGTTCTACAGTGAGGTCACTGTTTGCTTTCACGTATTCAAAGAGCTTCAGTTTATCTTGTAAACACTTGAGAAAGATCTGGAGCTTCACTCTTTGATCCTGTGCAGCTTCTTCGATGGGTCTGAATCTGTGGCTGTTGTGTGCTTTTGAGTCTCGACATACGAGACACACGGGCTCCTCGTGGTCCAAACAGAAGAGTTTGAGTTTCTCAGCGTGCAGATTGCAGAGAGCTTCAGATGCTGCTATTGGTGTCTCTGCTCTCTCAGCTCTCTCCTCTAAAGCAGTCTTACACAGGTTCCTTAGCACTAAACTAACAGGTGGGTCAGTTGATGAGGGCATCTTCATGCAGAGTGGGCAGGTTTGGGTGTCCTTCTCCTTCCACCACAACTGCAGACACTCTTTGCAGAAGCTGTGGCTGCATGAGAGGATGACCGGATCTCTGAAGATTTCATGGCAGATCGAACAGGTGAGCTCCTTTTCAGACTCAGATTGTGCAGCCAGTTTGCCCTGGAATGGAAGCAAAACCGCAGGTGGCTGTAAAAAAGAAATCCTGCGCTTCACATTTGTTTGTTTTTTTAAATTCGCTTCCATGGCGATGAACTAGCAGCAGGTTTAGCAGCACTCCAGTGTCCCCGGTGATCTTTCTGCTGTAGTGGGAAAACTCACGTCTCCTCCCGTTACTCGTCCTAAGCAAACTGAACAGAAATCAAGTCTAACTTTGACTTATGAGGTATGTTATCTGATGTCTATATGGTCAAAGAATGAGGAAAATACATTTCACAAGGTTGCTTGTCTCATGCAGAGCATTCCCCACATTACTGGGTTATCTGCATCTGACGATTGTTACAGAGCCGGCCTTTGTTTCAAACTGATCAACATTTCTGATATAGGCAGGTATATTGAAAGAGAGCATGCACTAACAGCTAATTATTTGTTTGCACTGTTATATGGCAGGTTTCCTCCTGAGTACTCCGGTTCTCTCCTCCTCACTGATGTTCTTCTTGGTTTAACTGGTGATTCTAAACAGGTTGTAGGTGTGGATGTGAGACTGTGTGTTTATATCAGCAGTGATGGTTCCTGCCCCTCCACAATCCTAACTCAGATATAAGATGATGTTACATTTCCCTTTGTGTTTGCTTTATTCTCTCCTCTCTTTGGTCCACCTGGGGAAAACGCTCTTCCTCTTTCAGATCTTCAGCATCCCCAGTTGCCTGCTTCTTTTTGTGAGGCCCTGGTATTATTATTATTTAAGTAGACCACAATAGCAATGCAAAGGTAAGTTTTTGGGGTGATAAAAATAAAAATATCTATGCTCCTTAGGATATATCTGAAGTCCACTTGGTCTAATAGCTTTCACTGAGAAACAAGATCTCACCACTCAGTTATTTTGGAACTCCTGTCTTCATATCTAAATGAATACGTCTCCAACTATAATTTCAATGGTCACTGGGATGAAAAAAAATATGCATGAGTCAAAAGGTTAGACCAACGATTATAAGAAGGAAAAACATGACGGAACCACAGTTCACACACCACAGATAATCTCTTTTGTAACATAGCTACAGTCAGACACGGCTGCACGATCATGTGGTGTGGA